GTGCGCCTTATATATATGTCCCACTGGATCCCTTGGCCGACAGATCTCTCCACACTCCTATGGAACTGGCCCTTTTCACGGGGATTTGGGTAGATATTACATAATCGTTTCCCAACTTGAGTGAAATGAACAGCCATTGAATATTTGCGATATGAATTATGAAACAATTTCAAAATAATAAATTACATTTAAGATTGCTCTCTTCTGATATGTGACGCCATGTGTTCTGGTAGATGATGATCAACATTTTAGGCTGGGGCCACACGAGCACACAAAATTCGTCCGTTGTAACGAACGTACTTTAAGACGGACGTTGCTAAGGACACCACACAGTTGCAGAATGCGACGCGTAGTTTTTTGCCTGCAGTGGAGCCAGAAGAAAGCCTAGCATTCGCCTCTCCTGTTTATTTCTACAACGGACGTCACGACATTCGTTACAACGGACGCAGTTTGTGCGCTCGTGTGGCCCCAGCCTTAGTCTGACTATAGAGTCACCTTGTTCCACATAAACACTGGTAACTGTCGACCAGAAGGCCGCGCCATAGCTTAAGCGGTTAGTCGCTGACTTCCAATCGCGGGTTCGATCCCGGGTATGGTCAAGTGGGATTTGTGATGGACAAAGTGGCGCTCGGGCAGGTTTTCTCCGAGTACTTCGGTTTCCCTTGCCAATCTTCATTCCACCAATTGCTCCACAATCACCCTCACCTATCATCTGGGGCTGGTACAATAGGCCAGAAGTGGCCGCAGTACAAGGGACTTAGTCCCACCCCACTAGCAGTAAAAAACTGTCGACCAGACTATGCAGCGTAACAACCGCGAAGACAGTAAGCACGCCCCATAAGACAAAGTGTAGTGGCGTGCTGCAGCGATTGTATTCGTTTGTGGAGAAGCAGTCAGCTTAAAATGGCAGCCACAGTACGAAAAGATACGTGTCATTTGGCTTTCCGTGTACGGAGCGCAGCTTCATTATAAACTCAAAAGACCGGATGGAGAAGTTCCTCGGAACATGTAGAATGGTACAAAGGAAAGCAGTCGGACCTCTGGTTACGTTTTAACGCAAACGAAGTGCAAGGAGTGGAGGCTCTTCACATAGAAATTGGCTTACAAGGGGGTTGATTGTGTAATTGACATTTCAAACCGTATAAATTAAAACTCATTTATTGTTTGTCTGACAGTAGTAGACTGTTGCGTTTATGGCAGCGACATTGCACAATATACGTGATGGCTTTAAGCAGTTTTCCTTTTATTGTACTTTGGAACATACACTATTGCTATATGCGTCAAGGGTAGTGCTCTGAAATGGGGATAGATGCGGGTAGATGCCGTCTACATAGTTCCAGGCCCTCCCCCACCTCATTTTAATGAGTCCGTTTACAGTGACTGGAGGCATCCATTTCTGAAAAACTCTTTCCATCACTGGTTTCTGACTGGGCAACAATGGCGATGTGTATTACATTTAGCAAGGGACAAGAATTCGATACTCTGAAGAAGGAATGCATTGTTGTTGTTAAAGCAAATTTCAAAATGTTCACACAGGGAACCGCCTCTGTGGTCTAGTGGTCAGAGTTCCTGGCTTCAGATCCAGAGGTCGGTTCGATTCCCGGCGCTACCAGATTTTCTGAAAGTAGTGAACTGCAGCGAGGTCCACTCAGCCTCGTGAGGCTAATTGAGGAACTACTTGAATGGAGAAGTAGCGGCTCCGGTCTAGAAAACCGAAATTAACGGTCGTGGTGATCGTTGCGCTGACCACGTGAAACCCTCTATACGCAAAAGTTGGCACTAACTTCGCCGACAAGCGGCGGTCGCTCGGTCGGTATAGTTCGCTTGCGGACTAAAGTTACAGTTTGTTTTTGTTTCTTCGTCCACACGGGTAAATTATCCAGAATGCCGTATACTGGAATGTGTCGCCGTGTAATCGGGTATAAATTTACCAACGTCTTGGAGCCGTGTACTGTCTCCAACTTTAGGGTCAAAGAGTAAACCAAGCAACTCCGAACGCCAGTAAACTTTTACCAGACTACACGGCGTCACAACCCAGGCGATAGTATTGTTAATGCCCACTGCTGTGAGAACCTCGGATTTTACATAGTGAACAGTTGCTTTCACAAACATCTTACAGGAGAAGTGTAAGTACATTGCAACCCAGTGGGAAACAAATGGGGAGTCTGAGCACAAGCAGGTGGAGCTATTATTACGAGTATAAGTTAACGGCCCCATAACAACGTAATCTGTTCTTAATGCTGGATGTGCTATAGCACAAGCTGTGTTTTCAGATAAAACCATTTTATGTAAGCAGAGAAGTCAACTCAGGATATAATGTGCTGCATGGATTAGTGCATGAGTGGGTTATAGGGTCATGTGTATTTGCTGAAAAAAAATGTAATCAGGTTTACCTGAATGTTCATGATTTGTTTGTGATACCAGATATGTTGGACACAATTAAATGTTTCCTAATATGCTACGTATCACCAGAAACTCACCCGTAAAAATTCACTACCAACATTAAATTTACAAAAATAAATAATAAGCATTGTTTTGCTCTACCATTGAAACTTCACTGCTTATTTGTTAGCCAATTTTGTTCTGCCTTCATAATATGAGAACCTGACTTTTAAATACAACAAAATCGTAATACTCATATAGATATTGACTTAAGTCAATTGAAAGTGGCATAATTACATGCATCCAACCAATGCAAGTGCAAAATTATGTTGAAATCTTATATTTGGTCATAAAACTTCACTTTGTAAGCATATTTTCCACGGATACACTACGTTTAATTCGCCCCACACTTCCGGTCTGAGGTCCACCCAGCCTCCTATCCAGTGCGTACCGGGTGCTGTTTCCCTATGAGAGAAGCGGCCAGTGCCTGAAGCTGAGTACACATCTCCAACTAATGCCTAGTCAAGAAAATGGGGACCTTTACATCCACTCCTACATACTTCGTAATGACGTACTGCTTAATTAGTTAAGCACAGGGAGAACTCTTCATTTATTCCACACCTTCGAACTTTAATTCTGGATCTGCGTGTAAATTCATTTCAGTAAAGTTTATACAGGGCGTTCAATCAAGGAGGAAACTTCGCAACACCGCTGACCGGGCCCAGTATTCTTCACACATTAGTGCTGTAACTGTAACGGCACGGGTTCATCAGCGCTAATGACTCATTCTGCTATCAGCTGTTACAGTAGCAGTATGTGAGGAATGTTGGACTGGGTCAGCGGTGTTGCGAAGTTTCCTCCTTAACTGAACGCACTGTAATTTATGGTGTTTTCCCTAGTTTCAGGTAGAACTGTAGTGTGAGTAAAGAATGTTTTACCGTACACTGATGTTCTGTATTTGACACCATTGTCTATGTTAGTGTTTGATAGAAGTATATAATGTTGAATTTAATGAACACGCTGACTGTGTAATCACAGCCAAACTTCTGATAGCAAATCTAGTGTATAGACTGAAACTCCAAGTTTTGCGATTTGAGTCAGCATCAGCAGGAGAGGTAATGTTGATTAGTAAAGTTACATAAGGCAATAGATAAGCCATACAGAGGAAATTGAGTGGCCTAGTACCATTTGAAGCTACTCCATGATGTGTTAATTTCCCCAGAAGCTGCCTTGACTGAATGAGTGACAGTATCTCTCTTCTATTCTCTTCCTATCCCATTGTGATTCTGTAAATGGATGTAGGAGTTACCTAGAGCCAGGCTGACAAACTTGTGCTGCAGTGTGGTGAATGCTTTCATCAGAGATCCATCTTTAAACTTTCATGTAAGCAACTGCAGGTTGCTTTTTTCATTAATGGTGATGTTTTATATAGACCATTTATAGTGCAACTCTTTTGTTTGTATGTGTTGCTTATATTCGGATGAATCAACATACATGGACATACACAGGCATGTTTTTGAGAAACTGATACAGTTATTTGTAGTTAAAATTAGTAGTCTATTTGTGTCACTCATGGAGTTTCAAGAAATTTCAGTTTTGAATTGACTGTATGGCTACAGGAACTTCAATCAGTAACTTGTTTCAGAAGCTATATATAAAAGGTAATTAAGAAAATGTATGCTGCAGTATGACGTATTGTTCACTCTGTCTCCTACAACAAACACATTATAAGGAAGAGCCCTGAACTTTTAATGTTTAAAATTGAAAAGTTATGGAGAAAGTAGGAAAACAATTGTAGTCTGCACCCATATTTTTGTGTTGTCCGGGGATCTAGCTTTCAGAAGCTAGGCCATAATTTAAGTTTGATGTCATCTTGGATGTAGCACCGTGTAGTCTGGTAGTTTGTTGCAAACATTTCAGAAGGATGTGGTTCCTAAATGTTCAGTCTCTTCTACCCTGAAGATGGAGGCAGCATATTACTTTGAAATGTCTGTGATGGTCTCCTAGACTACACAGTGTCATCAGGAATCTTCATGGTCGACCCCCATGAGAACCCCCACATGTGACATGGTACAGATAATCTTATGTTTTGAATTTTCTCATGTAAAATAAATGCTAAAGAAAACTAAGAATTAAAATATATGTGTATAAAAATGTATTGTTTGTCTTTTTATTATAGTTACAGTTTATTTAATCATGCTGTCAGTAATTCAACTATACTTGTATAGCCTCACATGGCCAAATGATTAATGAAATTTAAAAATACCATGTAAATATTACGTCCCTAAGATGATTATTACTTTATTTGTAGACCGTTTAAAATGCTGTATCAGCTCCAGGGGTTGTGTAGGATTAGAAAGAACTGGAAAGAAGCGTTCATGACCTACTGTGAAGTACAAAATTATCATTCTTCTTAAAATTATGAAAATTTGTATCTTCTTGTGCCAGACTCGAACCATGTACCTCCCAAATCAATCTATATATATTATTAATTGAACCAACAGAAAATCATGAGATATTGAAATATAACATGGTTTATTTTTTAAATTTACATGTCATCAAAATTAGCTGTTCATCATAAACTGTGTGTTTTATGTGCAATTCTTCTTTGTTTCCAGAAAATGCGCTTATTCCAAAAGAATTTGGAGGACCTTTCCAGCCGCATATCAGCAGCTGAAGCCATGAAGAATAGTTGGCAGAATCCAGGTGACATGGCTGAAGTGGGCGAAATGCTGGAACAACTTCAGGTAGAGTCTAATGTTTCTCTTTTGCAACCACCAAATGCCACAGTTGAGTGGTCACAAAACTTGCTTCATAGTCAGGAGACTGAAGTTTAAATCACAGCACAGAGACTTGCTATTATGACTGAGGTGTTCCATGGTTTTACTTAGTTTCACCAGGCATGCTGAGATAAACTGTAAAGTAGCCCTTGACTACTAGAGCAGCAATTTCAGTTCATTATTCACAGTCAGTCACTTGCAAAACTGTTAGTATATTATAATATAAAACAAAATTAAATTTGGTTTTATTATAAGGATTAAATGACCCTTACATTTATAGGATCAGCTCAAAATTCTACTGAAATGGGGTAGCTACTTTAATGATATAAAACCTACACCAGTAGCCTTCTCATGTACAGTGAGATCTCATTTATCCATGATAATGGAGGGGGAAAGTAATGTAAGATTAAAAAATACTGATCTGTAATGAATGCTGCCTGGATTTAAAACCTGCTTTGAATTTTAAACAGCAAGTGTAGTCTATTTGTCTTGCTACTAATCACAGAACAGTAAGACAAACCGAGGGCTTACTCTGTTGACACATTCACACCTGTGGTTGCAGATTTCTGATATGACTTCTTAATTAAATACACTCAGAAATTTCTAACGTGACTCAGGGTTTCTTTCTTGTAGTTTATTTTACAGACAGCAAATGGCTGTCAGAATATATGGGTACCAATGAAGAGTAGGGCATTTGTAAGAAGATATGTGTGAAATATAAGTATTTTGTGTAAAGAAATTCTGTTTACGAAAGCAAGTTAGCAGATTTTTCAATCGTGCAATTTTTGACAGCTCTTGTATGATCACTCCTCCAAGTGTCACATAAACCAGCATTATGTACTAATTTTACACCTCATGGAACATCATTACTTACTTACTCATGGAGCTTAGCCCTTCTGGAGGAGCCACCAATTCTGCAGCTACTCAAGAATTTCCCAGCATTTTATGGAACCCAAAGGTTTATTACCATGTTCACAAGAGCCCTCCACTGGTCCCTATCCTGAGCCAGATCTATCCAATCCATGCAATCCCATCCTATCTCTCTAAGATCCATTCTAATATTGTCCACCCACCTATGCCTTGGTCTTCCATGTGGTCTTTTTCATTCTGGCTTTCCCACCAATATCCTATACGCATTCCTCGTCTCCCTCATTCGTGCTACATGATCTTCCCACCTCATCCTCCTTGACTTGATCATTCTAATTATACTTGGAGAAGAGTACAAGTTATGAACATGGAACATCATGCTCTTGAGAAATATTTAAAGAAACTTACCTCTTGCATTGTTCTGCAGCGCAATCAGGTCAGGTTACAGTCTTGTTTAAGTGCATGAACAGTTCCATAGATACCTCTTTGATCACTTAAAAACGGCTTGTTCCAGAAATTATAAGTCAAAACCAAACCATCCTTTCGCCTGTCACCACTGCCTTTTTCATCTTCACAAAGTCAGATTATATTCGTAGAGAAGGTTGCATACATTTTACCCAAAACCTTGTACACCAGTCCTCAGGTCTCTTTCCATAGACCACTTATGCTTCATAAAGCATTCCTTGAATCCACTCTAATCCCTACTCCACTCCTTCCTCTTGTCGTGCTGCATTAGGGCCCATATGCAGAATCTGTTCTACCACAGGAACTGATACTTACTCCTTTATTGCCACCTGTGTCACTAGTTGCAACGCATATAATTCAGTGGCTTCAGAACTGTAGTTTGCAAAGCCATTTACTGGAGAAAAAAAAAGTGTATTGGAAGTTTCCTTTGGATGCCGGTATTCTTTTAAGGAAAACTCAAAATTCTGTTGTGTAAGCATTGCCATTCTGTTATGTAAGCTGCACCAGTTTCAGAGTTACATTAGCGTCCTTTGCTTTCATAATGTAAATGATTTATGGAACACTGTGAAGGTAATGTCTAGAGGGGGGGGGGGGAATGATATGTAAGGGGGATTTTCAAGAAGAGATCCATAAAATAGCTGAAGATTAGAAACAGTTGATCTAATCCGATGGCTTCTGTTTCTCCATGAGTCACTGGCCTCCATCCATATGAACTTCTGACACTGAATATCCCATCCTCCTTTTGTATGCTTTTAGTCAACTATGATTTGAAGTACAAAATTTGTAAATAGCATTGACAGCCTCTGTCTGATATCAGGAGCTCATTACAGTAGTTTGAAGCTGAATACTCATCTCCTTATAGTACCAAGGCTTAGTAGCCTTACCACCATGTTTCAGTATACGAGCGTGGCATCATGCTTAATGGGCTCTGGCATAAGTAAAGTTTTTCAGTGTATATGAATAACATCTGAAAGGCCATTTTCTTAGAGTTGTTTATTGGTAACAGAGAATGGTCAATGTTGGCAGAAGGATCACAATTGTAAATAGTTCTGAAAGGCAACCAAATGGATATACTGCTACTATAAGAATCACTGTGCACTCATTTTAAGTGCTGTTTTGGAACCAGACTTTGTGCAACTTTGTTTCATAAGAGTTTTCGTTTGTACATATTGTTCATATTTCATTACTTTCCAGCCTTACGTTGCATTTTCCAGAAACAGTTTAAATGAGGAGGAAACTGAGCATGCTCAAATAATAAGTAACCAATTGACTTATGGAAGAAGCAACGTCATTTTTTGTAACTGATCACGAACGAAACTTGAGCCTGCATTTTAAACTCAGCTGTCACTTATAGTTTACATGTTATAGCATATTGGAATTTATTTATGGGCTCTTGTGAACTTTGTAATGATGATTCCATAAAAGGCAGGGAGCTTCTTGACTAGCTAAATGACTACTAGCTTCTTAAGTATGGCTGCTCTCCATGAGATTTGTTAGTTATTATAGTGTGCTCATGTTTCTATGCACACATTGTTTTTGACACTCATAAGAGATCATTAAAAATAATGACATTGTCTGTTTACAGAAATTTGGTGAAAGACTTGGGCCGATACAGAGAACGGTAGAAGATGTTAATGACCAGACTGCTTTATTTACTTCCAACAACGTTTTAGTTTCACATATCAACCTGAACCGATTAGAGGATCTCAATACAAGGTATGATAATCTGTTTAAATTCCCCCCGTGATGCACTAAATCAATGGTTCTTAACTTTTTTCGTGCCATGGACCTCTTTGGCCATCTGATGAAGCCTATGGACCCCTTCTCAGAATGTTTTGTGTAAAATAAAATACATAGGATTACAAAGGAAACAGATTATTTTGAAGTACAGTTATCAAAATACTAAAAAAAAACTGTGATGTATATGCGTCTTTATTTATGCATTAAATAACAAGACAATAATACACTTAAAATATAAGTAAGTGAAAGTTAAATTCTATTTTTTAAGACATATCAGTGTGAAGACTCTTGTTGCTTAGCCTGAAAAAGAAAATTAAACCATAGGGTGGTCTTTGACAAGGTAACATGCTTGTCATGATGGACAGCTGATCGATTTTGATTTTTTGTTTTGTTGGTTACAACTGTTTAAAATCCAGATTTGTTAAGATAGTTGCAAATGGAATGAAAGCTTCCATTGCTCCCTTTGCAAGGTGAGGATAGTCTTCTCTCTAGGAACACCAGAATTCTCCAAGGCGTCCCCAGTCAAGCTCCTATTGTAGTAAGTGTTTTGTCTTAATATCAGAGAGTTCATCTTTAGCTAGGTAAATGTCGTCATACAGTTTATATCAGAAAGGAAAGGATTGCAGATCCATGGCTCAGCTTCAATGCCATCATGATAGAAATACTTTTTGAAAGAGTTCTGAAGTGTTTCCAGGTGTTTTCAGATTTCTTATTTCAAAGAGATTAACAGAGAATTTTGTATGTCAGCTTTATCTTGGTAAAGCACTTCCTCCATCATTTGAAAATTTGCAAGGATTTCGACCTCTACTGTCTTTGTCCATATCGACGGCTTAGCCAAGGAAGCTTATTATTTTTCAGTGGCATCCATAATGGTGATTTCAGGACCTTGAATTGAAAGATTCATCTCATTCATATGGTTAAACACGTTACAATATCTACCAGATAAGCCAATTAATGGATAAAATTCTTTCTTTCTAGGTGTCCCAAGAGTGGATTTTCTTGTTCTTTCAGAAAAAGTTAAACTTCTGCCCGTAGCTCGAACACCTGCTTTAAGACTTGTCCTCTTGAAAGCCAGCGACCTTCTGTGTGATAGAGGAGCAGTTCAGATTCTGCTGCCATTTCTTGGCAAAATGTTTTGAAAATGTGATGGTTCAGAGACCTACTTGTGATAAAGTTGATGACTTTTATGGCTGTAAACAAAACTTCCCTCAGGGTTGTTGGAAGAGGCTTTGTTGCCAGTTCATATCTATGTAAATAACAATGAGTGATGATGACATGAGGAGCTTCCTTTTCCAGTAGGGTAGCAAAACCAGATACATTACTAAGCATCACAGTGGTGAAAAGCTTTTCTTTCCAGTCAAAGTTTTGTTTGGCAAAAACCTTTTAACTGTTTTGAAAACGTTGACAGCTTTTGTAGTTTCCAAAAAAGACATAAGAATTCTTCTTTGATGGTGTCATAATGCACATAGCAAACAAAGATAAGGAGCTGGCTGCATTGAGAAATGTATGTTGTTTCATACTGAAGGGGAATGACAGGGCTGCCAATTCCTGGGTGACATTCTTTAAAATGTTAAAAGAAATATCAACTATTCTAGAGCTTATCATATCATTTTACAAAATAAATGCTTCCAGATTTTTCATCTGTTCCAGTCTACAAACCAGCTTGAACTTTTCCAGTGCACCTCTCCTTGCTGAAGTCTCTCCAGTAGTGTGGGGCACCTTTTGTTTGGCAGTCTGCTAAGCAACTTTATAGGATGGTTTAAGGAAAGGTTTTTGTGAAATAGAAAATCCAAGTTTTGGAAGTGTACCAGCTATTTCAAATTGAGCTTCCTGCACATGAAAAGAAAAAACGCACCTTTAGATCCATTTACAGAATGGACAGATGTGCTTTTTCAGTTTTGCTGGCTTCATACTTCCATTCACAAGAATTTTTCTGCACAAAATATACCGTGACTTTTTTGTCCCATCACATTCATTAATGCAAGTGAAACCATACAACACATAGCTTTCATCACACTTCCTTTTCTTCGACGTTCGAACTTAGATCAGGTACATAAAAGAATATAAAATAAATGCAGCTAAAATAAAATATTTTATTCGGTTGACAATTTTTTAAGCTCGGTATTTTTGTATGGTTTTAAAATAATTTGTTTGATATATCTGCATAGAAATAAATAATTTGTATATTAATTAAGTAAAGTGTAAGATACTCAAGAAGACTGTATGACAAATAAATAAAATAAATCAGGTTTTACTGTTTATCCAAAAATGGATTTTACTACTGGAGAAGACATGAAGATTACAGCAGTAACTTAGTAGTGTTGCCCTTCGTGGAATTCAGCTCTGTTTGCGCATGTGGTTTCATGGCTTTCTGTCCCTTTCTAGAAAAAATATTTCTCATTTCTGATATCATTGGACCGGTGATTGAGGTTAGCTCTTTCTAAGGGACCTAAAGATGGCCGCGCCATAGCTCAAGCGGCTTCCCACTGCGACAGCCCGGGTTCAAACCCGGGTCTGGTCAAGTGGGGTTTGTCATGGACAAAGTGGCGCTGGGGGCAGGTTTTCTCCGAGTACTTTGGTTTCCCCTGCCAATCTTCATTCCACCAATTGCTCCACAATCACCCTCACCTATCATCTTGCGCCGGTGCAATAGGCCAGAAGTGGCCGCAATACAAGGGACTTAGTCCCACCCCACTAGCAATAAAAAAAGGGACCTAACACCATAGGTGTCTTCCCCCTTACCTGAAGAGGAAAACAGATCCAGTTTCCAAAACATGTTCTGCTTTCATTTCATTCAGTTATCTGTTTTGGTATGAGAGTAGAGCATATTGTTCATTGTTTGCTGCTTTTACTCTGTGAGTAAATAAGTCTTGCTGTATCCAACCATATTTATGACCTGTTTGTTGCTTCAGGTGGAAACTCCTTCAGATGGCTGTGGATGACCGCTACAAGCAGCTCAATGATTTTGGGAAGGAAGGATCTCCACCAAACCAGGGCTTCCTGTCAGCGTCTGTTGAGCATCCGTGGGAACGTGCTATTACTGCAAACAAAGTGCCTTATTACATTAAGTATGTTTCTGAACCACTTCTGTAATTTCAGTTTTAAGCATAAAGAAAAACAGTAACATATCAGACAGCCAATTTTAGGTGTTCATTGCAGTAAAGATTAGTATTGTGATCTGAGCCTGGACATAGACATAGTCAATATTATGCGGACGTGGGTGATCAGCTTAATTGAGTAGCTGCTTTAAACTAGCAAGAGGTCTTCGGGTACCTGTTGAGCAGGAAGCTGGGTGTGGCACTGAGATATTCTGGATACATAGGAAGAGACAGGAATTACAGTTTCTTTGCCACAAATTGAACCCTGTTTTCCAGCTTCGAGTCAGGTGCTTATTGAGCTGTGATGGCCACAAAGAATTATGTTTAATATTAATACAATTTGTCCTAAAATTTTTTTGAAATGTGTACTGATGCCGGAAGCAGCGTCATCAGCAGCGACTTGAAGCACAGAGCAAATGATGCTCGAGATGGTTCAAGTTCGTATAGCAACAGGCGTGACCAGAGTGGTTTGAACGGCTGCTGTACTGCGATGTGGAAAGCAAATGGAAAAACTACCACATTATCACTTTTCCTGGATAGTCTCTTTCCAAAAACAGAAGATCGCATTAAGTGGAGGAACTGTTTTGGAAGAGACTGTGGACCTGTCGTCTGACAGATTACTGATGAATGGTGAACTATATCTATTCCTGTCTTCCATTTTCATCATGAATACTTTGTAATTACACATCATAACATTTAAACAATTTTATATGACAATAAACCGAACATGCTGCACAATCCCTTAAACACTGTACATGTTGTGGCTTATTTTAAGCCTTCATCTGGGTGTATTACACCATGTCACTGATGACAGCATAAAATAAACCAAAACATGTATGGTAATTAAAGGTTTTATGTAAAGTGTTGTTCTGTGGAGGTTTAATCATTGTTATAAATAAACGACATAATGCTAATAATATCTACAATTAACTTAATCTCTTAATTATCTCCTATTAATGTAGTCCTTTCTTCAGAAGGTATCAATATCCTTAATCAGTTACTTTTAGTCTGTTGCTAATGGTTGTATCGCCTTTTCCAGTCATCAGTTGGAAACTACACATTGGGACCATCCCAAGATGATTGAGCTAATGAATTCTCTCTCTGACCTCAATGAAGTTCGCTTCTCAGCGTACAGAACAGCTATGAAGCTCCGAACAGTGCAAAAGCGATTATGCTGTAAGTATATGCAAATCATTGTTTTAAATTGACCAGATATAGTTAGTTAGTTATTGGAGAGGATGGGTTTTCCCCATGCACTTAGACCAGTATTGGTCCATTGTGCTTCCCTCTATGATATTCTACCAGTCTCTGTACCCTACCGATATTGGTGCGTACCATCAGTCCTGACCGAGCCAGCGAGTTCAGCCTCTACTGGCTTGGCGGTATCTATAATGCTTCCCCCATCTATCAGAGGCGTTAGAGACTACTGTTGGGCAGGAAACGTCCTTGAATTTGGCTCAGTGACCTCCTTTGGAGATATGAGGTTCTTTTACGTGTCGTAAAGCTATGACACGGGACCCACGGCTTAAAGTCCCTCCCAGAGGACTTGTTCCCTGAATTTTTCCACCCTTAAAAATTCCACGACCTCCGCCAGGTTTGAATCCGCGTACCACGAGTCATGAGGTGGGAACGTTACCTCTAGACTACAGAGGCCACTTTGACCAGATATAACCTCAAAGTTTCACATCAGGACCATGTTTATAATTGTTGATGAACAGTATTCCATACATGATTTGTAGCGTTACATAACACTATCTCTTGGCTTTGGGCACAGCTTTAGAGTCCGCAACCCTGAACACTCAGTAATTGCTCACACATCTGTTATAAATAGTTTAAATTTAAAAAAAAGAATGTGCTTTTAGAAAGTCAGGATTAATTAGCAGTACAAACATGTGTAATATCAGTGGGGACATGATGTAATTATAGTGAGAGTGGCAGATACACATTTTTAACTGAACTGAATCATTCATTGAACTACTGAGTATCACTGTTATTCCTGTAATTCTGTTTCTAGTGGATCTCCTCAGTCTAGTTTCTGCTCTAGAATCTTTTGACTCTCACGGTCTACGAGCGCAGAATGACAAATTAATTGATGTTCCTGATATGGTGACTGTGCTCACTTCCCTCTATGAATTGATTGCGGCCGATAACCCCAGCCTTGTTAATGTGCCACTCTGCCTCGACCTCGCCATAAACTGGCTGCTCAACGTCTATGACAGGTAAGCCGGTTGCATTCTTATTAAGGTTAAAGTAAACAGCATTTCTCAGTGAACAAACGTATGTTGCTCTTCATAATCGTCTCTACCTTTTATCTTGTTTCCTTTCAGCCAACGTACAGGACAAATTCGTGTTTTGTCTTTCAAAGTTGGACTAGTCTTACTCTGCAAAGGACATCTAGAAGAAAAATATAGATGTGAGTATGATGTGTGTGTAATATTTGTGAAATTAACCCGTTCAAGTCAGAGAGCAGATTTCTAATTTGGAAATACTTATCATTACTTTGTCCTTTCTTTTGTAACTCTTTAACAACTGAAATTGTTTGGTTTATAGATTTATTCCGGCTGATTGCGGATCCAAATCGATTAGTGGACCAGCGCAAATTGGGACTGCTTTTACATGATTGCATTCAGGTGCCTCGCCAGCTTGGCGAAGTAGCAGCTTTTGGGGGCTCCAATATAGAACCATCAGTCCGCAGCTGTTTTGAAAAAGCAGGAAAAGATAAAACTTCCATAGAGGTGAATGTCGTGTAATCATAGTACAAGTCAAAGTACTGTATCAGATCCAGAACCTTTATAATTATGGTCATTACTTAACAATTGTATTTTTGGTAAATGGACCCTTTCTTATATAAAAAATAATTCCTGTAAAACTGTAATAACCCTTAAAAAGAGTTGTATTTAAATTGTTACATAACATACCTGCATTATGGCCACTCAATGTTTACAATGTGAACAAAGGCTCAGGAGAAGTTAATCCAATTTAGCAGAAGCAAAAGAAAGCGTTCGTAAAGGTGCCACCTTCAAAATTGCCATGGCTGCTTGGTTTACCAGTGTTATTTGATGGGCTTTGCTTCTGGTTTATTCTGTTTTGTAATAGCTATTTTTATTAGCTAAATTTGTGATTGTGACATTATTTATACATTTATTGTATGGCTGGCTGTTTCATAAAAAATGTTCAACTGATAACAGTCTCCATAATCCATCCCCTTTGTGGTCCATGCTTCAGTTCCATGCAGTAATTCCAGGCTGCATTTACCACATGTAGTGTGTACTCTATATTCTATGGGAATGAGGGTTCATCATCATCATCATCACATAATGACATAGATTGTTATATCATTAATAGATATTTACGAGTTCTATTCTCAAGATATTTCCAGCAATACCAGCAGGATATTCAGACTTAATTAGATGGAACTTTTCTGCCATAAGGTCATGTACACAAGGTATAACATGCCCTGGTTCACAAAATGGATGAACTTTACCATATTGTATATGTATTCTGCAGGCAATCCATTTCCTGAACTGGCTGCAGCAGGAGCCACAGAGCATGGTGTGGCTTCCAGTCCTACACAGGCTCTCTGCTGCAGAGACAGCAAAACATCAAGCAAAATGCAACATCTGCAAGGAGTACCCAATTGTGGGGTTCAGGTATGAGCTGGTCATATAACACAGAGTGCAGTCCATGTCAATGACAATTCATATTGCCTAAGCATGTGTGAAAATATTTTATCTTCCTTTCATTATATGTATTCCAATTTTCACATAAACTTCACAGGACATAATATTAACCAATGCTAAGATGAAATTGCTTACATTGTGATCTATTTCAGGTATCGCTGCTTGAAGTGTTTTAACTTCGACATGTGTCAGAACTGTTTCTTCTCAGGGAGGAAGGCAAAGAACCACAAACTTACTCATCCTATGCAAGAATATTGCACAGCTGTAAGTTGGACTTATCTTGTGTTTATATGCATAACTGTTTTGTCCTTTTTAGCAATGAAGTAAGCATTACAGTCATTCTTCTCTGGGAATATGGTTGTCATTAAATCTTGTTTTAAAATGTGTCAAGATGTGATATCAAGGTGGGTGTGATATTATGTTTGAATAAAATTATGTCTCGTCTTATTAGTTATTTCTACAAATTTTCTCTGGATTTATGTGAGAGGTTTTTATTTATATTTAATGCTGGAATACATTAAGACCTGTTTAATTTATGTGAGAGGTTTTTATTTATATTTAATGCTGGAATACATTAAGACCTGTTTAATTTTGCAGAATAAGTTTGATTTGTTTCATTCTGGTCTGTCACAGTAACAATATCATAAGAGGTTAAACAGTTCCATCCAGTTTGACTAGTAAAGATTGTAGGTAAAGGATTGAAATAAGAAAAATCTTTACTAGTCACACTGGATGGAACTGTTTGCAGAATATCTGTTCCATAACCGGCAGAATATCATCAGTGTTACGTGAGGGTAATAAATGTGCATTGCAGTTTTTCAAGTGTAGTATTACACCCAGTGAAGTAATGTCTGCCATTATATGTATGATGAGCTTCACAATTGTTAATATGGTTCATTATTAACACATTTGGTCCCTTACCTGAATTTGATCACTTACCAGTGCTTTGTCTAAACTACCATATCCAGCCTAGGCTGGGCGGTAACATGCTGTGACTAGAAAAAAATAATTCTCTTTTAGAACAAACTTCAAGCATATGTTTTTACCTTTTTGCAAAACCATGGATATAAGTAGATTATTTGCTGTTCATTTCTTCACTGTGCAATGCTGTAATTCATTAGTGTACTGACAGATATGGTTAGATTGGCAAGTGGGGCAGCTTCAGAGTTGCTGAAAGTGAAGTCTTAATGTTAAGTGTAATAAATGTGTAGGAAATTGAATATTCTTTCTCTATGTTCTTTCTCAAAGACCACTTCTGGTGAAGATGTCAGGGACTTCACAAGAGCACTTCGCAACAAGTTTAAGTCAAAACGTTATTTCAAGAAACATCCTCGGGTGGGCTACTTGCCTGTGCAGACAGTTCTAGAGGGTGATGCCCTTGAGAGCCCTGCTCCCTCACCTCAACACTCAACTCTCAGCCAGGACATGCATTCACGACTAGAAATGTACGCATCGCGGCTTGCAGAGGTGGAATTGCGCACCAGGAGTAATTCCACCCCTGACTCGTATGTATCACTTAAACACATGTCCACACAGTAATATACACAAGTAGAAAAGATTTAACAGAGAGGTAAATACATAAATAAATGTTTGTTTGATGCCTAAATATTACTGAAATGTCAGTGTGATAGATGGGTCTCTGAAAGGTCATTTATATAACAGTTAATTAATATTGTGTGAATAAATAACATTATAATTCATGATTACAGCACATGTCATGATACAAAGGGGATTTGTTGTTGAAAATGTGTCCATATTGTGAAATGTCATTATGTAAACCCAATTTTCCCTTTCATTCTCATGTTATAAGTAGAGATGTGTTTCCACAGATTTCTTCAGGCCACAGTCATAACAAGAATGTACTTTTTACACATCAGAAATAATGTCACATGTTGAGGGTGATTGGATTTATTGACACTTATACACTTGCTCAGAACTATAGGAAATTACAGCACTATCGCTATTCTGCACACATTACAGTTCCTGTAGCGCACATGCTGATGTCCTCAGCTGTTACGCTCTCCACTAGTCATTTCCTGGCAACGGATTCATCACAGTCTCACTGTAACTGCAATACACTGTGAAGTCTTCACTGCCTGACTGCTAACTGAACTCATCTTTCACCTCTGTCATCTGCCAACTACCAACTATGTCGTTGCCATCTCTTTTCAATTATCTTTGCAGAATTCAACTGACTCTTCTCCACTGAACTCTTCTTTGTGACCACTTTGCATGACAGAATAGTAAACACCACCTCCAACAGTACCCCTATTGTCATTTGCTTAGAAATGGGTTCTTCTATTGCGAACTTTTTTAATGAGCTGTTGCCTAGCAATGAACTATTCCAGCTTTCAGGCCGCATGTCACAATAATTATAGGTACATAAACATAAAAAACTTGAAGACAGTAGTTTATTTCTGTACATTATAAGTCAAGATAATGCATTATTCATTCTAAAGTGAGATCGGAATAGCAGCCATCCCTGTACACAGCTGATGCATGCATGTATTTGGTCTGAATTTTAGCCTATAATTATTTCTTTAATAATCAGTTTAGGCTGAATTTATTATGTTTTATGTTTAAAAAGTAATTTTTATCCAAAATTTCTGAAAGGAGATATTTGTGGTATGTATCCTGACTTTTAAAGTCATGTTTTATTTTAATCTTCATTTAGGGAAAATGTTGTTTCCTGAATATCTGTGACATGCGGCATACTGTACTTCATTTTGTAGATGCTGCCCTTATTGTGGTAATGTGAAAAGTCTCTATGACCAGAATGGCATCATCATCTTTAATTCAGTTGGAACTGTCTGGCTTAAAGTTTTGTTTATTTAATGCTAATTTTTTTGGATATAGAATATGCTGTAAAAGACTGGTGATTTGAACTGTGTTTATATTAAAAAATTTCACAGAATATAGAAAAGCTTCTATTTAGAGCATTCTTGAACGTTGTGTATCATTCATTTTGAATAATCTCATATTTATATATGTAAGATCATCCTTGTCTGTTAGTTGTGTAGATATGAACTGTTGACGGTTGGCCCTGCAGCATCAATATGATGGGCCTGTCATGAGAGTCTGTTTGTTTGTGCCTCAGAGATGATGAGCACCAGCTGATTGCCCAGTACTGTCAGTCACTGAATGGCGGTGATGCAGTTCCGGTGCCTCGCAGTCCAGTGCAGATCATGGTCGCTATTGATCAAGAACAGCGTGAGGAATTAGAAGCCATGATACGGTATGTATAGACACAGCCAGCAGGACAAATCTGCACCTTGTTGAATGAATTCTCTTCACACTTGTCCTGAAAGAACCCCTAAAATGTTGCCAAGTGAAGTGGCTTCATAGGTCATAAAATTCATTCTTGACAGCAGATCGTAGATCTCTTGAATTTCTTTATCATCAGTTGCAGTACTGATCCTGGGTATTTGTGTTACAAAACAAAATGTTTTCTGGGCGTTCCTAAGTATCTTCTTCCTTAAGGTTGATGTTTCCCCGCTGTGTGGGAAGGGATCATATAGAATTCATTCTTTCAATATGTTACTTGTAATTTGTTGTAAGATGTGGAGTAAATTATGTTGTTAGTGATAACTGTATTGTATGTATTTATTTGTTTCTTGTGCTTCCATATATGGTCTAGGTTGACCTTTCTTTGTCCTTGCCCACTTAAACCCATAGAGCAGATTACCCCATTGCTAATATGATCATGGGCGTGATGGTCAGCAGAAGGGATCAGCAGCTTAATGTGGGCCCCAAACCGTGGTGGGAACGGTCTGATATTCTTATTCCCAGAGTTTTATCTGTAGAAGGAATGAGGGCTTCAGTCTGTGAGCAGAAAAATCTACAAGCAGATCTGATCAGGGATTGTGAATGCAATCAAAAAGCATATAACCTACTGTTCATCTCCTTGAATGCATTCCAGGTGTTCACACCTCATCATTCTTCACTTTGAGGTGATGATTCTGGTATAGCAAGTGCGTCATGAATCTTAATTCTTCTATTTGTCTTGAAACTGAAGATAGCGTCAAAATTTGGTTTATGCTACCCAGGACTTTGATGTAACTCACTGCTCATTTTGTTTTTAGTAACAGAGATTACTCTGAGAATATGACTTTACAGTGAGTTGGAGGAGGAGAATGCATCCCTTCAAGCTGAGTATGAGCGCCTGAGAGCGAAACAGACACCTGGCTCAACTCCAGAAGAGTCTGCACATCTGCCTGGTGGTACAAGGCCCCCTGACTGTGACATGCTGGCTGAAGCCAAGCTGCTGCGCCAACACAAAGGTCGACTGGAAGCCCGAATGCAGATTCTAGAGGACCATAACCGTCAGTTGGAGGCTCAACTCCAGCGACTTCGGCAGCTGCTTGATGAAGTAAATGTATACTCTCACGTGATTGAATGACTATAGATGGATTTTCATAACTCAAGCGGTTATTCGCTGGCTTCCCACCGCGGCAGCCTGGGTTCAGTCCTGGGTCTGGTCAAGTGGGATTTGTGGTGGACAAAGTGGCTTTGGAGCAGGTTTTCTCTGAGTACTTCGGTTTCCCCTGCCAATCTTCATTCCACAAATTGCTCCACAATCACCCTCACCTATTATCTGGGCCTGGTAGAATGGGCCAGAAGTGGCCGCAGTACAAGGGACTTAGTCCCACCCCACTAGAAATAAAAAAAAAAATAGATAGATTTTGGATTGGTAGCTGGATTTATTGGACTCTTACAGAACATAAATGCATGTTCAGGTAATCTGATGTGTTTCACAGCTACAATTGTGTACAGTGTACTGAAATTTTGTGACACAGATTCTATTTAACATATTCACTCAGCCTGCCAGTTACCAAACAGTATATGGCTGGGTACTAGCTGATAATTTTGTGGTTTTCTGTAGTCCATCCGTATGAATTTTATATCCATACCTTCGAATATGATATAGTTCCATTGCATCATTCACGGGTGTTCCATATAGTTTGATGGTGAATAATGATATAGTAAATGATATAGCATCATAAAATGATTGAATACACAGTGTCCCAACTACATGATTGTCTGTCACTCTTGTTCTGAATGCCAACAGATTGCAATACTATCTAGTACAAGAATTTTTAGTACATTTTATATGTCATTGTTGTTAGACTGCTGTGAAGTGGATAACAGGCAAATGATCAGATTAAATACTGTCACTGCTTACAGTTGGATTATTTTTTACTCTTATCTATCCTCTGTTGGAAGGCTTGTGACAATTTTCCACTATACATTCACAGACCACAGTCTTCAGCATTGACTTCACAAATTTACCTGCATGTTATGATTGTGTCTTGAGTGTTATGTCTTTGGTGTTTTCAGTCTTTGAAGTCTCTTCTTCCAGTTAGCAATGAAGGAAAGTCAGATGGTGGGAGCTTTACATATTCCCTTTTTTTACTATGTGTGCATGTTGTTTTTGTGATGTTCTCCACTAGCTGATGGGAATGAAGTTGGAAATTAAAAGGAATGATGGAAAGGGTTAAGAGATGAGCAAATAGGTTAATTTTAGAAGAGGTAATGTTACTGTTGATAAAGGGGCTCATGCATTTGGAGGGTGCATTGATTGAAAGCACTGCTGCTGCGGACATCTGTTGGCAATGAGAGGTTACAGTTATTCTGTCTCATTCTGTCTGATTTATTATAGGAGAGCACAACACATCAATGTTCTATTCTTTTCTACAGCCCAGTTCAAGTTCACCTTCCAAGACAGGAACTCTACAGACCCGATCTGTGACAGCGTCTCAGTTGGCTACTGATTCCCCTGCTAAGATGAATGGTCATTATCATGACTCTGGAAGTAAGTACAGAACTGTTCAAAATTAACAACAGTTTTTAAATATATGTCCTTCCAATTGTAATAACAAGGGTGGCTTATGTATCACAAATGCATGAGAATGTTTATTTTTACATTTTATGCTTATTTCCTCTTCTTCAGAGAGAAGAAACAAAGAATGGTACATCATAGAAGTGGTACATACTGTTTATGCTTATGTAATTCATAGTGTATGTCAAGAATCTTTCAAGAAGCAGCCCTTCTCTAAAGTTGCGCATCAGATATGACTGAATATTGATAGATACAAATAGATATCTGATTATTCTGTCTGTGAGGAAAGTATCATGGTTAGTGCTGCCCATCATCCCAGAAAATAAGAGCTCTTCAGTATTATAAATGTTGCATCCTACTACAGTATGCTTCCAGCAGCACATACATACTATGATGCGAACACAATACAAAACTTCATTCTCTAATAGAAAGTTTGCAGTAATGTTTGATAAGTTGATTGGAAGGGAAAATAAGAGGAAAGTTTCCCTTACATAAATTATATATGTGTCTATCTTTGTGGGAATTCCCTCTTTTATTATTCTTTCTTTCTATATGCTTCTTCTCTTCTCAGCTACCTTAGCAGTTTTTTTCCCCCCAATTATAGAAATGAAATAGTTCTGAGCTGGCTGATGGGGACCTTTAGTTTCTGGTGCATAGTTACAGTTCTGTAAGTAACTACCTGTTTCTGGGGTCATCGCTGGCACTTCAGTAGTGCTGTAGTGGGCGGTGCTGTGTTTCTGTTGCTTGCTAGTTGGCACACCCTGCATGGTGCATATGCGTGTGTGTAGGTGGGCGCTGGGTGGATGGTGGTAGGAGTGCTGTGGATCGTATTGGCGATATGCGACCACCTCCTCCTCCAGTCTCGCACAACATGGCAGCTGCAGCTACAGGCGCATCTTCTTCGTCTGTTGCTGCCACTCAGAATGTAGGCAATCTGCTCCACATGGCAGGTGGGTGTTGTACTGTGTCTGCTTACATCTCTGTACACAGATAATATTACAGCTAGAAAATATTATCTTTAAAACAAGTATTGTAGTATTTGGAAGCAAGGGGGAATTTTTCCGTGCATTGTCTTTGTAATTTAAGTTGCAGTTTTGAACAATCTTATCCCTGAAATGAGTGTAGCTACAAGTATGAAATAAAGTGTATTATACTGTATTGTATTGGTCATTTGTGAGGTTACATCTCCTTTTGACTGCATATAGCACTCAAAATAATTGTGAAGTAAATGAAAAAAAGAAGAAAGTAAAGTCCCTGTGCTTAACTAAACAGACACAATGCCATGAAGACATTCAGGGGAGCGGATATATAGATTAATGTATTCTCAACCTTGTCACTGCTTGGAAGTGAATGGTCACCTCCATGTCCCAACCACTTCACCCTCCAGAGAAAAAGTCCCCAGTGCCCATTGGCTAGGAGGCTGGGTGGGCCTCACAACCGGTCTTGACAGCATGGAGAGGAGAAAAATCTTGCCCCTGCTGGGACCCAAACCCCAACCCTTTGGCCATCCAGCCCGTAGCTAGCTGTTGTACTGACTGCTCCCACAGTTGTGAAATAAAATAGCAAATTTCTCATTGCCTGCCCCGTTTTATTTACATGACATAAAGTGCAAGCAAGGATTGTTGCAGTTGTTGCCAAGTTTAACCGTTACATGCTCACTTTTATGTGTTTGTGTTTCTGAGGAACACTTGTGTAGATGGAACAGTGTCCACATTATGTTTGGATAACATGTAGAACATTTATGAAGATGAAAATGCACTGGGGAAAAGTGTCTGTTCTTTATTAATACAGTGTGCTTTGCTTAGCTGGATTTATTTCAAAGAAAGATTGTTCACAAGGGCAGCATACTTTAGAAAGATCTGTGCAATGGACATTTGAACTGCTTCATGGTGTTCTGAAACAAAACATTCAGCTCTCTGCTCTGTCTGTTTATATCTTGAGTAGAGATGTCTTGTGGGACCAGTTTCTGACAATGGTGGCATTTCTTGTTTTTAACTCTCCTTCCATTTCTGACCTCTACCAAAGTAATGCTTCCTCACTTCCCCCCCCCCCCTAGTTCTACAGAACATAAAGTACACATAAATCCCAACATTCCAGATTTGGTGGATGTTATTTTTTCTTCTTTAAATAAAGGGCCTGGATCTCAATTTGTAAAATTTTCTCAGACAAAAAACACTGATGATCAACATTGTTGTTCATATAATACTGTGGACATTTTAAATAACATAACTACAATCCGATCATTTCAGTAAATAACTGAGTTACTAGTGCGGAAGCATTGAACACTCCTCCCATCTGATTAGACCACTGAGATAATGCCTGCAAGTGGAATAAACAAGCCTGTGACCTAACCAAGTACAAAGAAAACTTGTCCAGATTACAGAAGATGCTAGAAATTCTTCACATTGTTACACTTTCATGGCCCTTCCATGAAAAGTTTGAAATTCTTTATAGGAAATCAAATAAACTTAAAACATGAAATCCTGGTCCCCTATGCAAGGCATCTGATTGCATTTGAGTAGAATGTGCAAGTCTAGCACTAATTTATTCAGCCCCCCCTCCCCAAAGAAACAATGAAATTAGTGTTGTGGTTGAAAATTCTTTCAGGAACAACAGAAAGCATGAAAGTATTTCTAGCCCCTGCTGTAATTTGGCTGGAAAGGAAGAATATCAGCACTTTCACCTAAACAGTTTAATGATTTACAGGAAGCTATCGGTTGATTGCACTGTATGGTACACCCTGATGTTTAGTTTCACTGTACTTTCATTTGAATGGTTCCAGACCTAAGAACATAAGCCCAGCTTTTGTTGAGGAATTATGAATGATTTCCCTTTCATCTGAATTAGTTTTTTTAATTAAATGTTAGCATTACATATGGTCCAAGAAACTTTATATTTATGAAAAAGAGTCTTGTATCTTTGTAATCACATGTATATTACTGTTCAGTTATCCTTTTCAGGTTTGCAGCTCGTATCTAATGTGTGATTTTTGGCTTTCATGGTTAAGTCACACTGTGTTTCAGAGATGAGTAAGTGTGGTAATGTGGGGCATGGTACTGTCTGATGGAAAGGGGCCGTAGCTCAAGCAGTTAGTCGCTGGCTTCCCACCACAGCGGTCCAGGTTCCATCCCGGGGCTGGTCAAGTGGGATTTGTGGTGGACAAAGTGACACTGGGGCAGGTTTTCTCCGAGTACTTCGGTTTCCCCTGCCAATTGCTCCACAATCACCCTCACCTATCATCTGGGGCTGGTACAATAGGCCAGAAGTAGCCGCAGTACAAGGGACTTAGTCCCACCCCACTAGCAATAAAAAAAATAGTGGGGAGTGGAGTCCAACTGGGTCCACTTGGCACGGCGGCCACTGATTGGCCTATTGTAGCCTGCCCCGGGTGATTATGATGATGGAGAATTTGGTGGAATGAAGATTGGCACAGGAAACTGAAGTACTCGGAGAAAACCCGTCCAAGCGCCACTTTATCCACAACAAATCCCACTTGACCAGACCCAGGATTGAACCCGAGCCACCGCGGTGGGATCATAATATGTGTCTCGCTGTGGAATTAAGGGTGGAGATGTGTAGCATGGATAGTGCCATGCTCCTCACTGCAACCTCTACTACTTCCACTTCAAGACCTATATAGTGGGCTGAGTCATCCTAAATATGGAGACTGCAATGTACTCTGAATCACTGGAACAACTTAAACACGCAACACAGCTGAACTTTGAAAGCCAAAATTATACTGTTCAGTTAATTAGACTGCTTGAAAGTTCTCATTTTGGGGGGGAGGAAGCAAATTATAAGAGTGACATAAGCAACTTCAGCCTTCCACAGGCTTGTCACTTCATTGATGATCATGGTGTGTAACATATGTATGCCAGGTTAAGCAGTGAAAATGTCTTTCACAAGTTTAACACAAACGATGGTTCAATAAAGCTGTAAATATTCTTTCAATGATGCATACAGTCATTTTAAGATAGAAGTGTGTTTGAAGTCAACAGCCTTAAACCAGTCATGTGAGAATGTTGTGTTTCTCATGATAAGTAATAGCAGTCCACATTTGGCAGTAGCCTTTCTGGGTTATCTCTAGCATTTCATTATCACTGTGGGGCTGCAACCATTATAGCTGGCTCATTGCAGATGTTTAGTATCAGTATACAGCATCTTTATGTTCCTGTCCTTTTACTTCTAAGATATTTTTATGGGCCATAATGCAGATTTGAAAGCCACTTCATGCTTAGCATAGGCTATTTATATATTTACACAACGAGTTAGAGCAACACAAAGAAAGTAACAAAAGAAATCTACAATACAGTAGCCAAAGGGTGAAGTTAAAGAAAAGTTGAATTTGGAAAACATGATTGATTATTTCACTGGCTTTAGAACTGGACCGCTTAATTACAAATATACATGCTATTACAACAGTTGCATGAATTTTGGGTTATAAATTATTTTCCCCATTTATGAAACTAATTTTCTTCCCTCCTATCTGATGAAGATACAAGTTTTCTTTTTAGACCTGGCCTCTGGGTTACATGTGAATGGAGCAGTGGTTGCAGCTGCATTGTGGGGTAGGAGGGAGGAAGGATGACTCACTGACAAAACTATATGCAAATACACTGCTCATTCTTTTGTGAACAGCCAAGTCTAAAAATGTAGACAGTACAGATCTTGTCTTTGAACTTGTACCCTGAGGTTTTATGGATGTACCACTTCTGTTCAGCTAATGAACTTGGAATGTTTCCAGCCCAAGCTCCCATCCTGTCCTCTTAAAGGCAGTTCTTCACACATGCAATTACAATATTTATGTAGACTTTTGATGGCGAACTTGGTGTTGGTGACATGTTCATGAAGTCTGTACCTTTAACACTGTTACTCCTATACACCCGCATCACCCCAACTTGAACTGTTGTCATTATGTTGTACAGTTCTGTCACTGAATGATCATGCACTAACATAAGTATGCAGTAAGGTGCAGTAGCTTCCCAACTCAGTGCTGTACAGCCACTTGCAATACTGAATATATTAACAGTTGTTATTGCATGACTGTATTCTCTTAACCAAGAGCTCCTAAGGGTTATGTAAATCATGGATATAAATTTAGTAAGCAAATTAATATTAACCATCTTCATCTAGGATTTAACTTGTTTGATAATGATACACATGGAAGGGTACTGCAAGGTGTAGAGTTGGTAATATAGATCTACCCTCACAGAAAACCTGAGAGTTTTGAGTAGATTACATTCTTCTGAGATGTGGTTCCTTGTGGCCTAGTAGATGGTTACCAATGCATCTGAGGAATCCACTGCCTCCATATGCAGGGTAGAACATTGGTAACTATGTACCAGACTACCTGTTGTATATCCCAGTAGACAGTACCATTAAGATATTATTTGAAAAGGAATTACTATTTATAAGACTTTATAAGGCAAAATATTTACAAGAAAAATTTTTCTGCCAATGTACAAAAATCACAGTTTTCAATTATGGAAAAGAAAGCATGCATGTAGTGTACTTTCAAGACTGGTTTCCTGTGTCGCAACATACACTGCCAAGGTGGTAATCGGCGATTACAAGAAACATGGTGCCTCATCCACCCGACTGATTCTTTATGAAAGTGTGAAATAATTGTGTAACATGGTGGTTTGTCCAGGGACTGTATCGGTTCACGTTCACATTTGAATGTCTAAAATATATTTTATTTTTTGGCTACCATGAGGTAATACCAGTATTTAAAACAACATTCCTAGTGTGTTATTTCTGCTTTTTTTAAACTGTTTCAGCAGCAGGCAGGATATAGGTCAGTCAGTCAATTGAATCATCTGTTTCTTTAATTTGCACTTAGAGTAGGCTCTGACATGAAACGTTTGCTACGTCGAACTCAGCTTACTGCTCAGATATTGGCTTATTTCCCTTTTCCTTGGGTAGTTGCATGCTGTAGCATGGTAATGTTGCTTCATCTGTATGTAATTTCCTATTTTGGGTTTTATCATATTGTAGCAAAGGTAAAATGAAATTGTCCATGTGTTAAAGCATCATGCCATGACAGTGTATGGAGAAGTGTAGATAAAGTTCATACATTTTTCACCATGGCATTAGATAGAGTTGAGTGAACAGCATCATGGTCTAACCACCACATTACTGGGAAGGCTGTCAGTGTTCAGCGTATGTGTTGCTGGGTGGGCCCCAGAGCTGGTATGGACATGGAGAAGAGAACAGGTTTCAAACTTGACTCATCCACTCCATAGTCAGCCACTTTGCTTTTTTGCTGAATATTTACTGAAGTGAAAAAAAAAATTCAAAGGAAGGTTGTAGAAAAATATGAAACATGAATTTTATGACCAATATGCTTTTTCCATAAATCCTGCAGATCAAGATAATTTTTTTATGTTTATCATCTCATAACACAAGAACTGTGAGAGTTACAGAAAAGGTGTATGGTTCATATAATGTGTTTAATTTTCTGTTCAGATTTATGAATTGAATGAATAGCAGTGGCATGACACAATAACATGATAGCTTCTTAAGATTTATATACATGGTATATGTGATATCTTTTAGATTAAGAATAATATATCTTCTGTAAATTTTTTATTGAAATATAAAAAAAATCTTATTCACTTCAGTTCTCAGCTCTTGTAGTGCATGTGGCATGTTTCGAAACAGCAGAAAAAATTATGGAGGTTCACATTTTAATGGTCATGATATTAGTTTGTCATGAACTGTAACACTGAAATCTGTAATATGGAAGTTTGAGGGGAAAAATATTTGTTCTTTGTGTTTGAGTTCAGTTTCAAATTCATGTTTTCCTAATTTAAAATGTTCAGTTTATTTTGAAAATGAAACCAGAGACCTTTTAACAACTGCGTGAGAAGTATTCTTAGTAATTATCATATTTGTTTATCGGAACCAGAAAATGGTTGAAGCTAAACCCCCAGAGTATTTTTCTTTTGACTTATATTTGGAAGGTGCTTGGTTTGAATCTTGACTGAGTTTTTTATAGTTTTACTTATTCCCTCTGGTATATTGCCTACAGTTTAGGCACAGAACACTTCCTTGAATTCACTAATCTTCCTGTTGTTTGATACTGTGTCGTCTAAACTGTTGATAGTGCCATTAAATAAATGTAAGCAACTAAGCAACTCAACGTTCGCAGTAAAGAAGTTTTCTTTTATAAACCAAAATGTATGACTGTATGACATATCGGTTTCAGAACAAGAATTAAAAGAATGAACTTTCACATTTCATTGGTTGTCCAGCATGACTGTGTAGCGTGTTTGTAAATAGCCTTAAATCTGTACTGGCCATATCTTGCACTCTTGTCATGATGCATGTGGGCTGTCAAGTGACCAGACATTGCATTATTCTCAATACCATTTCTGTTACCTCACTGTTAACTCATAAAATCCAGCCACCAGCAAGTCTCCTATTCCTAGGTGACATAACTTGTTGGTATATGCAACTGAGCTTGATCAGTGACAGGAATATCTGAGCCAAGATAACAAGCATGGATAGTATGTAGTTCTTCATATTAGTTTAAGTCATTTGACGAGGAAGACAATCATGGATCTTCCTCATGAAATATATGGCACCTAAATGGGTTTTGATTGTCTCTGCAGGAGACCTGGGGAAAGCTGTGAGTGAGTTAGTGACAGTAATGACAGATGAAGACCAGCATTCAGAATCAGCTAGCCCTAGCGATGAGGACCTGCACACATCAGCAAGGTTGAACCCAAAGTAGAGTGGAATATCAAGTCACCTTCAATCACCAGTTTCCTTTGATTGTGGCAGTAAGATTTGTGGTACATGTCTAATGTTTTTAACATTCCAGAGATTGAGTTTTCATCTGACAAATTCACAGTAATAATGTATACAGTTTATGAGCGTAATAATATTTCTTTAACATTATTAAGTGGTCATCCAGGTTTTATAAAATAGTACTGCCTTTTTTTTTTGTATAATGATAGAGAAATTGAATGTTTAGGAATATATATGTAAGTGACCAATAAGTGGAAATTTTGTTTGAAAACTTAGTAGAAAGAGAAGCATTATTAGAGACAGAAAGTATTTTATTCGCCTGGTCAGAGAAATTAATGGTGACAAGGCAGATTCAGTCTCTGTGATGTCTGTCCAAAGCATTAGTCCTTGCCTGGTAAATGTCACACACAACTACTGCAAGAGTGCATGGCAGTCATATAAGCATATGATGAGTGAGTGTTGCACAAAGAATAGGACCAAGCAGTGGAACTGCTAAATCAAAGGATTGTTTCAGTGCTGGACTATTTTTAGAGAAGATAGCAGAAATGAAACTGCACAACTGCCATATCACAAATTTAAAATTTTACTCTTTGAACTTGAAATCCACACACATCTTATTTGACATATCTGAACATATTATCCTGTCTGTTGGCAGATTGGTTTATATCTTTAGGATGTTGTTATTACAGTGTAACAAGTGAATGTAAATAAGCAAGAAACTTTAAGATTGCAGGCTGAATGAGTAGTCCGTCATGTAAACGCAGTTGTAGGTGTGGATTACAGATTGTCTTCTCTCGCTCATTTTTTTAAAGAAACAAGTTTTCCCTTTGTGAACTGCACAAACATGGTGCTTCGAACATTAAACATAAGAGATTTACATAATCCCAGGAGATGACTTTTGTCACTAAAAGGCACATATCCATCCCTTTAATGATATATAAATACCAAGAAAGTCCTAAAATGACTCTAAGTTAGATTTATAATCTTTTATCACTTCAATTAGTTTTATTTTCTTATAACTCAATTTATCAGATGTTTTTTCATTGGGTATGAACAGTACCTAAAATCTTTTGTATCCACACAAAGACTTCATAGCTCCACTTCAACCCCAAATTCTGATGTACATATAAATTTGTTCATTGCTCTAGATAGGTCAGTCACATTGGTAGCCATGTTTCAAAGGAGGAGCCATCAGTTTGAGACCTATACAGGTGGAGTTTCCTCTTTCATCAGGTGTAGTCATTGTTGGTTGTAGGAGTGGAGCATACAAATGTTGCTGGTCTTCAGAGTAAATCTTTAAATGACAGCAATTATTTGTAAAAGTATCAATTCCATTATAACACTTACATTGAATAAAGAAGTTGGTAGAAACATACACAGAAATATTATGTTCACAACAGCTCTCAAGCTGTGGTTCCTCTTTCTATAGTGTCCATGTCATTCCTTGCAGATTTTGACACAATGCATTAAAAATGCAAATCTTTTTATCTGTGAGCTCACATTCATACAAATTTTGATGCATCATTTGTTTTAATATCACCAACATATCGAGGCCAATAAAAATGGACACTATTCTGTAAAAATTATTTCTTTCTACAGGAGGTAGAACTTGCCCTATTACTTGTCAGAAATGATGAATGAATGAATGACTAAATAAAAAGGCCCTAGTTACCTCCAAGCTGAAGACTGGATTATCCTGATGGCATTAATTTCTGTGAATATGGGCTCTAAGATCGTTTCATTAACACTCAGTATTTAATGCTATAGTGAAGCCACTAGCCTTCCCCATGCTGTACCTTTTGTTGCTCCTTATCCCCTTAAACCTTTTTAATGTGATGCATTTTGCAATAGGTAATAGTCCTTAATTATAAATAGAGGTAATTTAGAATGGCCAGGTTAATTTCCTTAATTTCAGATTTTGACTGTTAAACTTATGCATTTCTTCTTTGTTGATGGAAGTAGAAAACTGAAAACTCTGTAGCTAATCAAAAAAAGTTCCCTGAAAATAGAATTTTTAACAGAAAAAAATATTAATTGGTTTTCTTTTGTCAACTATGTTCTAAAATGATTTTCTAGCACTCTGACTTGGTTAGTAATTGACAGCATTTTTTGATGGTATTTTCATGCAAGAAGACCACTTCTTTTAAAGGTTTCAGTCCAGATTTTGTTAACTGTGTATTCCTGAGTGAACTGTACACAGGATAAGGGAGTTTTATCACCATTGGTTTCTCCATGGTTATTTAAGTTTTGTCAGACAGAGTATCTTTTGTAGGCTTCAGAAACTTGAGTAAAATGTAAGTCATGAAGCCTGATGCATGTGTATTTTCATCTGATTACAATCACCAAGAACTGAGAAGAAACAAGACATGTCAGAGTGAAGAGAGAATAGCCATAATTTGAGCTATAATGTTGTATATATGACTCTTGTAGCATCTGTAAATGCCCAAATCTCACTCCATGTGGTAGACTGTTCTAATTGGAGTAGCAGAGCATTCATGTTAACCATGTTAGCATGGCTAACACCTTGAAACATGAAATAAAAAGTAATACTCTCATAGTTCAGTGGTACACCATATCCTGGCAGCAGAAGCAATTAGGTAATACATTGTCACCTCATACCAGCCTGTTACAGGTGTTGGTAGCCAATGCTTTCAGACTTAACTAGCCTGTTTGTGAACACAGGTGCAGTTAGAAAGGAAAATATATTGTCTAGGCTTCATGCAGTGAGAGACTGCATGCCATTCCAGGCTACCATGTTAGCCAACCTAAGAATGTTAACACACATCAGTTGTTTGCATGCCTATCTTATCACATACTTTACTGTGAAATAATCTGTACTATGCAAGGACAGCAGATCAGTTGGTTCTGTGAAATTCTGAAACTAAAATTGGTTTCACTTCTTGACTTTAAAAATTCTGAACAGTGTTCTAAAGTCTTCAACTACTGCTTTTGAATATTTTTTTTTAAATCACATGGTCAGTATTCAGAAAACTGAACTTTATATTATTTATTCACGGGAGCGATTTTTTACTAACTGATATTTGAGACATTTTCAAATATTTGATCACTTCAAATCTGAATATGTATTACCAGAAGTTACAACATTATCTTTTCTCATATTAACCATTCTGACAACCAGTGTATCTTTCCAATGGTCATTCTCTGCTCTGAAGGGGATCTGTACTTACATATGCAGCACGATGATGAAACTGGTTGGTTCAAAGACAGCCAGCCAAACAGATATGCCCTCCACGAGCCATACTTCTTGTTTTGTACAGAAACCTAATAAGTTTGACACAAACTCAGGAGAGGCTCACTAAGTTACCATTAATTTCAACTGTGATAGATATTTTCACTGAAAAAAAAATCACTGAATAGAACTAAAGTACAAGGTATAATGAAAATGATAACCTTACTAATTTCTAACCACTTTTTTGTAGTTCACTTGTCTTTTCTTGCTTACTCCATAACTGTATTAATTTTTAGCTGAGATGTGCATGGTTGCCTTGTATGATGTATATGCTCATTTGCCAGAATTCACTTGACCTTCCTCTGTCTCAGGAGTTGGCTGACAGTTTTGAAAAGTCAAACTCCACCGCAGACTAATTGGCAGTTAAACCATGTGTTTTCTCAGAACAAGATGACTAACTATAAATTCCTGTTCACTAGATTGGATCATATAGGTTGTCTACAAGCCAAATCAACTATTTGAAACATGCAAATAAAATTCAGAACTCTTACATTATAAATATATCAGCACTATATAGAGCAGCTGGAACTCACTATTATCTCATTTATGGTTCATCAAGCACAAATCAAATTTTTTTTTGTGCATTAGTTATAGAATGGTGAATGTTGCATGGTACACTCAAGTGGAACTGATAACTCTACAACAGTCATTATTTTATTTATGAAAAAAGAAATATACCCAATGTCCCTGCCAGTATAATATATTTCTGAATATGGGCAGTGTGCAAAGTGTAAACCATAGCTAGGCATCAGGTAAGGTAAAGCTATCTCTGTAACAGGCCGCAGAGGCCTACAGGGTTGTGAGATGGCAAGGCTCGCACAGTTTCTAGACAGTCGGCTCAGAGATGGCAGTGAGGTTGTCAGCCTTACATGCCGGCTGTCCATTACCCCCAAGGAAGATTCCTGCTACTCATTTCTCTTAGAGGCTGAGTCAATCCCAGGGCCATAATGCAGCTGGAAAGATAGCTAAATTGAAAAATCCAGTGACCTCATCCGGAATCAAACCCATGACTTTCCTGCTTGTAGCACAGTGCCTCAACCAACTATGCTACCGCATGCCCACAGATAGGCATCAGTTTTGGATGAAATGATTTTTCATGTTGGAGAAGTATTTCATCAAAATCTGTTCAAGTCCATCCAGAGAGCCTCACATGAACCCAGAATACCATAAAGCACCATACATGAGATTGTTCATGAATGACTGCTGAAATGTAACACCTACACCATCAATTATTCATTTGTAAGGCGAACATCAGGAATAGATTTACCAGGTTGAAGAACATGTTGGTACTGAATTTAGCATCTATTTATAAACACTGATGTAAGATATCTTGCTAGGCTGGGATATCCAATAAAAGAAAGCACACAGAAGAATTTGAGGTGTTCTTCCTTCAGTTGGTATATAAATTCATGAAGAAAGCAGCACTTCATTGATGACATCATATAAGTAGCAGCAGGTAAGGTTAAGAAATGCATTCAACAAGTGAGCAGTGTGACATTGCAGTGACTGTCAGAGGTCTCTCAAGTGTTAGTGAAGAGGATCTCCATCACAGTATCAAAGAAAGCGTTTCTGAACCTTTTTCAGTAGACACATACCTTCGTTTCAGAGTGAGGCTTCACATACTCCTTTCAATAGGGACTTAATTTTTGTCTCAGACTACATGGGGGTGATAAAGTGGCCGGGGCGTGAAGCTGGCCACTTCACCATAAGGCTTCATGGCATAGTGCTTAATTAGTCAAACACAAGGAAACTTTACTTTTACTTTACTAAAATTAATACTTATGTGATGTTTTTACCAAACACACTGTAATAATCATTCTTGCAAAAGGTGTGAACAGAATTTTTAAAAAAGAATGCCTTGTAATACCCATGTTTTGTTTAAATATAAATTTAGAAAAATGGATACAGTGTTCTGGAGAAACATGCTGATTCCATCTTCAGGACCAAAGTGATTGGGGTGCTGTATGTCAGAGGAATGGCCAGTCCCATAAGGTCAGATTTCTTATGCATCTTAGAAATGATGTTATTAATGTAGGTTCCGGATGCACATCTTATAGGTCAGAGTGCAGTCAGCCACAATACAAGGTTCTGTGCATTACTGAATATGAATATCGAATACAGGTGTGGATTAAAAGTTTAACAGCACTGGATGTTGAGAAGGGATGGGACTTGGGTATAGGGACTAGCAGATGGTTCCCCCTCCAGTAGAATTACATAAATGTCCACCGGGGCTTCAGAAAGTCACAGTTTGAAAACAAGTACCTTAGTTCCACACTCTGTGAGATCAATGGTGGCTTTTTCCATGCATTTTGATATAATAAACTCCAATGAGTTGCAAGGTGTACTTCGAAATATGTTTATTTTGACACCCACCCTGAGGAACAGTAAGTTGCAAGATGTCCGCGAGTTTGACCGTTGCCAGCCCAGCATGTTTGAACTCCTTAACAAATAACGTGTCATTAGTAATGAGAGCAGGGTGTTGAGAATATTTGGATGGAAGAGAGATGAAGTGACAGGAGGTTGAAGAAAACTGCATAATGAGGAGCTTCATAACTTGTACTCTTCTCCAAGTATAATTAGAATGATCAAGTCAAGGAGGATGAGGTGGGCAGGTCATGTACCACGAATGGGGGAGACGAATGCGTATAGGATATTGGTGGGAAAGCCAGAAGGAAAGAGACCACTGGGAAGACCAAGGTGTGGGTGGGTGGACAATATTAAAATGGATCTTAGAGAGATAGGATGGTATGGATTGGATTGATCTGGCTCAAGATAGGGACCGGTGGAGGGTTCTTGTGAACACCGTAATGAAACTTCGGGTTCCATATAAATTGATGGGAAATTCTTAAGTAGCTGCAGAATTGGTGGCTCCTCCAGAAGGCTCAGCTCCATGAGTAAGTAAGTTAGTAATTTAAATGCTGACTTCCTGGCGCCACTGTATTAGCAATGTGATGAAACGTCCTTATAAGTACTAAAAGGTAAAGTTGCCCCTGTGCTTAACAAATTAAGCACTATGCCATGAAGGCATATGGGGGAGTGGATGTATAGATCCATATTTTCTTGACCTCGGCATTAGCTGGAGGTGAGTGATCAGCTTCACGCCCCGGCCGCTTTACCCCCAGGGAAAAAGCTCACGATATCCATTGGATAGGCGGCTGGGTGGGGCCTAGCGCCTGTATGAAGGACAAGGAGAAGTGAAAATCCTTGTCCCCACTGGCATGAGAACTACAACCCTTGGTCATCCAGCCCGTAGCCAGTTGCTATACTGACTGCACTATCCCATAGTGCTAGGCCCATAAAGTGGTAAGTTCGTTAGCTTGTGTCCTTCATGTCCCTGCGTCCATACCACTTGCACCTTGTTGTGAACAGGGGATTGCAGGCAGTCCCAGACAGTGCATATTCTCACAGCTATGACAAGAGGTCTGTCTTCTAAGATATAACTCCGTGTATCACTTCGACAGTCAACTGACGATTCGGAATATTATACCGCCTCCATCTTCAGGGTCGAAGAATAAGCCAAGCAAGAAACGAGCAGGTGGCAAGCACAGATGGAAGAACATTCAGTGTTGCTAACTGGAGTTCTTCAAATGTAAAATAAAAGTAAAGCTGTCCCTGTAACAGGCCGTGAAGGCCCATAGGGTTGTGAGACATTAAGGGTCCCACACTATCTTAGACAATGGGCTCAGAGATGGCGGTAACAATACAAATTATATTCCTCAGTTTCTTTGTGTTTCCATTCTGTGTCCACCCCCTGTATATGTTAATTTTTGCAGCTTTGAAACCAATGCAAGGCCTCCTGGGAGGTGCAGATTTCCTGGATTAAAAAGAAAAGGGAAAACTATCCCTGAAACAGGCCGTGGAGATCCAGAGGGTTGTGAGACGTCGAGGCTCCCACATTTTCTAGACAATCGGCTCATAGATGGCGGCTGGATTGTCAGCCTTACGAGCCGGCCGCCCTTTATACCCAGGAAGATTTCTGCTACTCATTTCTGTTAGAAGCTGAGTCAACCCCAGGGCCATAATGTGGCTGGAAGGATTAAATCGATTTAAAAATCAAATGACCTCATCGGCAATCAAACCTGCGACCTTCTGGCTTGTAGCATAGTTCCTCAACAAACTACGCTACCGCGTGCCCCCATTTCCTGGGTTAGTATTCAGTGATTCTGATGGTTTTAAGTATTTTCATCTTGCCGTTATAAATTAGCTCGCATCGATTTGCCCATTTTACTTTGTTGATTATGGAGACTTTGTTTTGTTGTATTGGTGCTGAAGGGTGTGGATACCATCTCGCATTACCTCAAATGTCTGAAGGTGAGGAGACAGGCGTGCCAGATGTTCACTTGTTTATAATTTTTAAGGGAAAGAAATGTGGTGGGCATTAGAATCTAGGTTTGATATTGACATGAGCGACATGAGGGACATCTTTAGGGTTAAAAACTGGAATTACCTTCAGTTGTTGATACACTTTACTACTACTGCTACAGACAGCCGTTGTGCTTCATCGCCGACAGAAGTGTAGAATATTCTTTCCGTTTCATACGGAGCGTCGCAATTTATTTCAATGTGGCAGGTCAATATTCGACATTATAGCTGGATTCGATAGATAAATGGCATGTATAAATTATTTTATTTTATTTAAATTACAATATTTGGAATCAAGCCGAAATTCATTGGCTTATTGACAGAATATTTGACTGTTCGGAAATTAATAGACGAAACCTCACTGTTAATGTTTCTCTCTATAAATTTTACAATAATACCTCCAACTTAAATTCCATGTTATAAACTGCAAACAAGAAGCATAAAGTGAGTATTTTCGATGTGCATACATATTCATTATCAGATTTTATAAACCGATAAATTGTAAATATTTAAAATTTAAATTATCTGAAATGAATGGAATAAGACGTTCATTTATTTTCTGTTGTACAACTACTCTTTTCGAGTTGAATTTATTGCTCGTCAGTTACTGTTAAATTTGCAATTACGGTATAAATGAATATGAAACATTAATTTTAAAACTTAATGTGCACTTTAATTTAGCAGTGGTGTCCATGTCGCCTTTTCAGCATATTCAAAATAATTTCTAGGGGTTACATGCTGAAATAACAACGGACGTAGCAGTTATTATCGAATGAGTAAAATTCTTTGACAAAAGCAAATCGAATGCCGCAGCTTTCCTGTTGCGAACTTGCGTTCCTTATCAGGCCGGGTCTACTCTTCGTAACATGGATGTTTACATATAGCCCGTGGATAGTAGATTCTAATTTTTTTTATTGCTAGTGGGGTGGGACTAATTCCCTTGTACTGCGGCCAATTCTGGCCTATTGTACCAGCCCCAGATGATAGGTGAGGGTGATTGTGGAATGAAGATTGGCAAGGGAAACCGAAGTACTTGGAGAAAACCTGCCCCAGCGCCACTTTGTCCACCACAAATCCCATTTGACCAGACACGGGATCGAACCCGGGCCGCCGCGGTGGGAAGCCAGCGACTAACCGCTTGAGCTATAGCGCGGCCTAGGTTCTAAATGGTTCTGACGATGGCGTATAACACTCAGAATTACTGGGATTTTGGACTTTTTCCATCGTCCGGTATTTTATAAACTAGAAAGCACGACGTTTCGGAAACTGGATCTGTTCTCAACCTCAGGTGAAGGGGGTGAATACACCTACTCCGTTGGCCCTCTTAGAAAGAGCTAACCTCAAAGGAACCAGTTGATTAGGTGTCTTGACCCTTCACCTGAGGACGGAAACAGATCCAGTTTCCGAAACGTCGTGTTTTCTAGTTTATAAAATACCGGACGATGGAAAGAGTCCAGAAATTCATAATTCCGGGGATGGTAGTTGAATTTTAAATCTTTCGTTAAAATGAGTGAAAATAAAGCCTGCATTTGATTTACAACTTTATTGTTTCGAGGCGACTTGTTATGAAAGGTACGTACTTCCATTATGCTGTACTGTGTATAACAATTATCTACTGATGCGCAGAATTAGTGTGCGCAGCGACTTTTAGCGTCTCCTTATTAACTTTAAATTTGTTTCATAAATGTCGGTAAAATTAACGTTGTGTATTCATAAAGTCGCCGTTATGCTGTATAAAGAATAACATTTTTCTTTTGTTACCACCACATCGACCTACTGTCTGTTTGATAAATCTGATAATTGAATTAGCGGCATTTTGAACATGTAGGCATATTTACTAAAATGGATAACGAATTTCTGTACTACGAAATTTTAAAAGCGCGTGTGATCGCATTGAATTCTGTGAGTATAGAATGAAACTTTGTGAATTAATGCAGCCACATGTATCTTCTAGTAACAGGTTTCTGATATGCACGCCATACATATAGGCATATAATCTATAAAACTTGGACACAGCTGTATTATCCAAAAATACGGATTTTTTAACACTGTTTTCTTGTAATGAGAATTATGAATTAACAATTCGTGACTACAGTTTCTGAATCAGACCGTAGGAAACCTAAGTTCTCTTTCATCCTCGAGTACCTACTGACATGTGTTTTGGTGTGATTAGAAACCATAACACAACAGTTGCTTTCGTTTTTTTTTTATTGCGAGTGCAGCGAATCTCTAAGATGTGTGTCAGTGTCACAAGTGACAAGTTCAATGATTTTCTCAACGGTTTCAACGTGATCCAGTATCCATTCGAGGCAGAACTTCGAATATGGGGTCAAGCGAAGAGGAGCAACGCGCAAACCGTAACGTTAAAATCAAATCAGTTTCCGCTGAATTTTTAGTGATAGAGGGCCCATCCGCAGGAGGATGTGCTTGGTACTTGCAGTAAATCAGGTACGCCATAGCATCTGCACGGTCTTATCATGGTCCAGTCAAGCCCCAGGCTGGTCATGATAATAACATAGCACCGTGCCAGGCAACTCTGCTGCGATAGCCCCCATGACTCAGGGCTTAGGTTGGCCGTGCCATAGCTACAGCGGTTAGTCACTGGCTTCTCACCGCGGCGGCCCGGGTTCGATTCCCGGTCTCGTCAAGTGGGATTTATGGTGGACAAAGTGGCGTTGGGGCAGGTTTTATCCGAGTACTTCGGTTTCCCCTTCGAATCTTCATTCCACCAATTGCTCCACAATCACCCTCACCTATCATCTGGAGCTGGTACAATAGGCCAGAAGTGGCCGTAGTACAAGGGACTTAGTCCCACCAATAAAAAATATGGCTTAGGTTAAGGTCAAAATGGACACCCTGTGAATGTTATATTTTTTATTATTGTGTATTATTTTAAGGTATTGTCTTCCGTCCTCCCCGTTAAGTGCCCCAAGATAGAATTTCTGGTTAAGCGGTGTGAATTAGGGTTTTGTGTCCTGTTTCGCCCTTGTTGGCAGAATGGACGTTTATATAGGTTTAATTTTAAGTATGCCCTATTTCTGCCCGTGCATTTTTTACGCCACATGGTAGCAACTTAACAGATCCAGTCTGCATACCAATGAAATCGACGAGGACAAAAGAAGAGCGAAAAAGAAATGTTTCTCTCAGTCACTCCTTGACAGTAACTGACATTCAGGGGCTCTCTGAACCCGTCATAACGCACAATGCTTCGTTAAGTAGATCTTTCACGTCAGTGGTGAAATACAAATGGATTTATTATATAAAGATGCAAATAACGTCACACTTAATTACTTTAGAATAAAATGCAGTGTATTCATATTATAACATTAGCAGAACACAATTTAACATTTATAGAATATTCTATGTGGATGGAAAGACACCACTTGGAAGATCAAGGCGTAGGTGGGTGGACAATATTAAAATGGATCTTAGAGAGATAGGATTGGATAGGTTGGATTGATCTGGTTCAGGATAGGGAGCAGTGGAGGGCTCTTGTGAACACGGTAATGAACCTTCGGGTTCCATAAAATGCTGGGAAATTCTTGAGTAGCTGCAGAATTGGCGGCTCCTCAAGAAGGACTCAGCTCCATGAGTGAGTGAGTGAGTGAGTGAGTGAGCATTGAAGAAATACATTGTCGGAGATAAAGACTGAGATGAATTTATTAGAGACTGATAGGTCCGTCGCTGGCCGACAGGTTTCGTGGAAGTTATTACTTCAATGTCAATTTTAACTATTTCCCACTCATCCATGCTCTTATTTATGTATTCTGAATACTTCAGCATTCCTCCGCTTGGGCGCTTCCGTTTTGACCAATATTCTTACAATTCGGTATTTCCTGTTCGAATGAAGCCTCTTTTTGAAACGACAACAACGCTAATATAGTATTTTCCATGTGATTTGCAAGTATAGGCGTCAGGGTGGGATAGAAACATTTAGAACCATGGTATGCATCGCTGCAGGTTACACCTAACAGGTTTTACCACAGCACACATTTCATCCCATCTGCTCTACATAATCTGCATGAGAAACAGGCGCAACGTAGACTGCACCTTGTCCTTTTTTTTTTTTTAATTTGCTTAGTGGGGGGTGGAGTCCAACTGGGTCTACTCGGCACGGCGGCCACTGATTGGCCTATTGTAGCCTGCCCCGGGTGATTATGATCATTATGATGGAGAATGTGGTGGAATGAAATTGGCAGGGGAACCGAAGTACTCGGAGAAAACCCGCCCCAGCGCCACTTTGTCCACCACAAATCCCACTTGACCAAACCCGGTATCGAACCAGGGCCGCCGCGGTGGGAAGCCAGCGACTAACCGCTTGAGCTATGGCGCGGCCGCACCATGTTCTTACGGTCCTGAGTTCCACATTGCGAGAAGGCTCAAGGCCTCAGATTTACGTTGTGCGTTCAACAGAAGATATCAACTTTATTTAAGAATAACTACTTATATATTAAAATGATATTTTCAATTTTAAATACTCCGTGTTTTCAATCGTAACATTTGGTGGTCTCCGACTATATTTCGGTTTCTATTGCGATAGGCTTTTAAAAAGTGTAGCTGTCATGAACAATGATAGGAAACACGAATATACATACTGCCTTCATATTAGTAGGAAGACTGAAGTGCCTAGCGCATTGACACGAATTCCATATTTAAGTTCGGCGTTGTATAAGAACAACAATCAATCAATCACGAAGTGAAAGCATGTAAACAGCATAGGTAATTATCCTGTACTTACACCGCTGTTATTTCGGTCTTGCACTTCTTTCTGTTATTATAAACTTCTTTCAGTTTCTGTATCACTTCAGGTCCTCGATCATATTCTGTATCTCAGTGTGACGAGAGGGAGAAATGAGCAATATGTAAAGAATTTTTAAAATCATTGTAAATTCTCCATTTAGAAGGAATTATTAAACATTGTGACAATGAACTGTACATATTTAACAGCCAAACATATTAATTACTCTGTGTCCGGTCAAGTGCTAGGTCAGAGATGAAACCCCCAACTCACTGACCAACAATGTGATAAATGCTTTTTGGTCTGGTCTATCACACACCTTAGGGGGAAATTACATATTATTGAGTGTAACATGCAAAAGGAAGCCTTCATGACAAATTGAAAACCTAGTTCACAACGAACCACTGTCCGTGTTACACAGCCTTCTGTTACCACATGCACTTTTTAATTTGGTGCAGTCCTCTTAATAAAGTATCCATTAGAAGAGTTTATTTTGAAGTCTTGCTTATATTAACACACATTTCTTTCTACATTATAATTTGTATGATACTGTTAGATGTCTCAACGATATCTTCAGCTCCAAAGTATGTATGAATGTATGAGGGGTGGGCCTTCTCGACCCTTGCACCACGACCTACAGTGGTCTATTGTGCATCATCTCCAAAGTAAATTTTCATGAAGACAAATATTCCTTTTTCTTTTATAT